ATATCCTCAAATCCTTAAATCTTCAAATTACGAAATCCTCAAATTCTAAAAATTCTCAAATAACCAAACCCTCAAATCACCTTAGTTTTCGAATTTTCAATTCATCAAATCCTAAATTCTTCAAATGACCAAATCATCAAATCGTCGAATCACCAAAGTCCTCAAGTTTTAAAAATCCTCAAATCACCAAATTATCAAAATCCTCAAATCATCATATTCTCAAATCCTTAAACCTTCAAATTACTAAATCCTCAAATTCCAAAAATCCTCAAATAACCAAATCACCAAATCATCAAATACTCAATTCTTTAAATCACCAAATTTTCAAATCATCAAAATTCTCAATTCTTCAAGTCCCCAAATCAGCAAATCCTCAAATCTTCAAATTACCAAATCCTGAAATCATCAAAATCTTCAAATTATCAAAATCCTCCCTCAAAATCCTCAAATCTTCATATTACCATATCCTCAAATAACCAAATCCTCAACTTACCGTCTTCAAATTTTCAAATCTTTAAATCACCAAATTCTCAAATCATCGAAGCTCCAAATTCTCAAATCATCAAAATTCTCAATTCACCAAATCCTCAAATCATCAAAATCTTCAATTCACCAAATCCTCAATTCTTCATGCTCTCAAATCTTCAAATTTCCAAATCATAAAATTGTCGAATCACCAAAGTCCTCAAGTTTTAAAAATCCTCAAATCACCAAATCATAAATATCCTCAATTCATCAAATCCTCAAATTTTCAAGTCCTCAATTCACCAAATCCTCAGAACCCCAAAATCCTCAAATATTCAAATCTTCAAATTATCATATCCTCAAATCCTTAAATCTTCAAATTACTAAATCCTCAAATTCTAAAAATCCTCAAATAACCAAATCGTCAAATCATTAAATTCTCAAATTTTTAAATCACCAAATTTTCAAATCATCAAAATTCTCAATTCTTCAAGTCCTTAAATCAGCATATCCTCAAATCTTCAAATTACCAAATCCTCAATTTACTAAATCCACAAATTATCAAAATCCCCAAATTTTCAAGTCCTCAAATCACCAAATCCTCAGAACCTCAAATCTTCAAATTACCATATCCTCAAATCGTTAAATCTTGAAATTACTAAATCCTCAAATTACCAAATACTCAAATTACCAAAGTCTTCAAATTTTCAAACCACCAAATGGTCAAATCATCAAATTCTCAAAACTTTTAACCACCAAATTTTCAAATCATCAATGCTCCAAATCATCAAAATTTTCAATTTTTCAAGGCTTCAAATCAGCAAATCCTCATATCTCATCATATATCATCATCACCTATATCATATCTTATTACCAAATCCTCAAATCGTCGAATCACCAAAGTCCTCAAGTTTTAAAAATCCTCAAATCACCGAATCATCAAAATCCTAAATTTACTAAATCATCAATTTATCAAAATCCCCAAATTTTCAAGTCCTTAAATCACCAAATCCTCAAAACCTCAAAATCCTCAAACCACCAAATCTTCAAATCCCCAAATCTTCAAATTACCATATTCCGAAATCCTTAAATCTTCAAATTACGAAATACTCAAATTCTAAAAATTCTTAAATAACCGAATCTTCAAATCACCTTAGTTTTCAAATTTTCAAATCACCAAATCGTCAAATCATCAAATTCTCAAATCTTTAATTCGCTAAATTTTCAAATCATCAAAGCTCCAAATCCTCAAATCATCAAAAATCCCAATTAGCCAAATCATCAAAATCTTCACTTCACCGAATCCTCAATTCTTCAAGTCCTCAAATCTTCAAATTCCCAAATCATCAAATCGTCGAATCACCAAAGTCCTCAAATTTTAAAAATTCTCAAACCACCAAATCACCAAAATCCTCAATTCACAAATCCTCAAATTTTCAAGTCCTCAAATCACCAAATCCTCAGAATTTCAAAATTCTCAAATCACCAAAACCTCAAATCCTCAAATTACCATATCCTCAAATAACCAAATCCTCAAATTACCAGTCTTCAAATTTTCAAACCACCAAATCGTCAAATTCGCAAATCTTTAAATCACCGAATTTTCAAATCATCACAGCTCCAATTCCTCAAATCATCAGAATTCTCAATTCACCAAATTTAATAAATTGGACAATCGGCGAACTGAAAAATCGAAACATCGAAAATTTAAAAATTTCGAAAATTGAAAAATTGAGCTGAAAACTCGAAAAATCGAAAAACTCAAAAGTTTGAAAATTGAAAAGTTGAAAATATTGAATTGTTGAAAAATTGAGAAATCGAAGTATAAACCAGTCGAAAAATTGAAAAATCTAAAGTTTTAAAAACGAAAAATTGAAAATCCGAAACGTAAAAAATCGAGAAATCGAAAAGTCGAAATGGCAAAAAATCCAGAAACTGAAATATCGAAAAATTCAAAAATAGAAGAAAAATTGAAGAATCGAAAAAATGAAAAATCACAAAATTGAACGAAAATTGGTAAATTAAAAAATTGAATAATTGGGAAATTGAAAAGTCAAAAAAGCAAAATCGAAAAATCGCAAGAACCGGAAAATTGAAAAATCAAAAACCTGAAAAATCGAAAAATTGAAGAACTGAAAAACCGAAACTTTGGGAAGTCGAGAAAGGGGAAAATCAAAAAATGGATTAATTGAGAAATCGGAAAATTGAAAATTCAGAAACGTCAAAATTTAAAAAATTAAAAAATATTAAAGAACTCGAAAATGAAGGAATCGAAACATCAAAAATCAAAAAAAAAAAAAAAATCGAAAATCTATAATTTAGAAATCGAAAAACTGAAAAAGCAACATTTCGAGAAATCAAAATTCGAAAATTTAAAAAATGGGATAATTCAAAAATCGAAAAGCTGAAAAGCAAAAAAACGAAAAACCGACAAATCGAAAAATTAAAAGATCGAAAAATCCAGGAGTCTAAAAATCAAGAAGTCAAAAATCGAAAAGTCAAAGAATCAAAATACTGGAATTTCCAAAAACTGAAAGGAATATCCAAGAAGTGATAAATTAAAAAATTCGAAAATTGAGAAATCCATAAAGCAAAGTCGAAAAATCGGAGAATTAAAGAACTGAAAAATAGAAAGTTCGAGAAGTCAAGAAATGGGAAAATCAAAAATAGATTAATTGAGAAATCGGAAAATTGAAAATTTAGCAACGTCGAAATTTAAAAAATCAAAAAATTAAAAAGTAAAAATTCGAAAATCTAAAATTTAAAACTCGAAAAACGACAAATCGAAACTCCAGAGTTTAAAAATTGAAAAATCGGATAACTGAAAAATCGAAAAATTGAAAAGCTCAAAACTAAAAAACCGAAAAACCGAGAAATCCGAAAATCGAAACATCGAAAAATTTAAAAAGTGAGACATCGAGAAATCGAAAAATCAGAGAGAAAAATTGAAAAATTACTAAATTGAGAAATTGAACACTCAAAACATCGAAACATTTGAATTCGATAAATCGAGAAATCAAAAAATTGAAAAAACGAAAAATATTTGAACGAAAAATTGGAAAAATCGAAATTTTAAAAATTCAGAAAATTGAAATATTGAAATACAGAAGGACACTGGAGAAATCGAAAAACCTAGAATTTTAAAAATTGAAAGTTTAAAACATCGAAAAGTCGAAAAATTGAAAAATCTAAAGTTTAACAATAAATTGAAAATCCAAAAAGTAAAAATCCAGGAGTCCAAAAATCGAAAATCGAAATCTTAAAAAATCGAAAAATTGAAAAATCAGAAAACCTGAAAAATCGAAAAATTAAAGAACTGAAAAAAAATCGAAACTTTAGGAAGTCGAGAAATAGGTAAATAAAAAACAGATTAGTTCAGATATCAGGAAACTGAAAATTTAGAAACGTCAAAATTTGAAAAATCGAAATATTTGAAAATCGTAAAATTGAAGAGGAGAAAATTTGAAAAATGGAAAAATTGAAAAAGCCCAAAATTGAAAGTTCCGGACTACGCTACTTTTTAACCTTTAAATAGCTTAGAGTCGATATTGGCCTGAGTACGCTCTGGACGAGATTTTAAACTGCAGAGATTGTTTTCGGTATCATTTCTCCTAGCACTTTTCGAGAATCACTGACCGAAATACCGAAATAATAATATGAGTTTTAAATTTGAAAAAAAAACATTGGGCGACTTTTTAAAAAATAAAAATAATATTTTTCAAAAAGTTATGAAAATTTCTGCATTTTTTCACTATTTTTTTAATTCAACTGAAGCCATTTTCTTGTAGACTCTGACCTTCAGAAGTTACTTTCTGCATTATTTCTTCTACCATTTTTCGAGAATTACCCAAAACAAAATATTCAGAAAAAAGTAAAATTTTGTCAGGACACATTTATATGCAACTTTCATGCATTTGCCTACAACCAGAATGAAAAGGATAATTCTATAAATACACGACCTTGGAATAATAACCACCTAATCCACTCCTCATTACGAGTACCTAGGTCATTGATTTTTTCCAATTCTATCAACAGCCGATTGAGAAACACGCCGAATATTCCCCAGACTCACTCCAGGCCACTGCAATAACCGTGGACCGGTGTGTTTATTTTCTTTGGGAATGTTTTTCCTCAATTAATTGCACTTGCAAAAGCACCATTTCTCTCAATTGTTTGCCCAACATACCCATTTCGTTATTATCTGTTTGACATTCCAGGCATGTTTAGAAACACTGCACGACTCCTGAATTACTCAGTGTTGCTTACTGGCAACAGGTGCACTAACCCCCTCTAACCCAAACACCCAAACTGAATAAACCGGAGCCACCCGGACCCAATCCCAGCCCGGAAACCGAATGATTGACACTCTAATTCGCGTTATAAAAGCCCATCTGCCGCTCTAACACCCTTATCACCGCGATTACCCGCCGTCCTTGAAACACAAATAAGAAACTCATCGAAAACCTCTGTTCCCTTTCGATTTATTAGCAGCAACAACAAAAACAATTACAAGCAATTAGCGAAGCAATTAAAGAGCGATTTTCGCTTTGCCGGATTATAAAACGTTTGTTTTCCTCATTGATGTCAATTAATTGTTGACATCCATACAAAGTCTTGTTTCGTTCTGTCGTGGAATCGATATCATTATTAATTTGAGCGGTGGAAGTAGCTCTTGAATGCGTAATGGGTATCGATACTTAAAATAGATTGCGTTGTGGGACGTAATAAAAGGCAGTGGCGTAGCGGAGTTCACTGGTGGGTTTTGGTTCGGGCTTTGAAGAGCGCTAGGACGGCGCAGACGAGGAGGATTGAGATTGTAGCTAGGGGGATGATTGTCCATGGGGTGGTAGTCCGAGAAGGTTTGGCTTCTGGGGGTAGCACCCGGAACTGGATTTGGGATTCCCAGTCGGTTACTAGGTCTTCGGTGGCGTTGGCGGCTCTGGCGGCGCGGGTCCTGGGGGCGTCCTCGCAGGCTGTACTCTAGACAAGTATGCAGATAGTGTATTACACTAAATAATAATAATTAATTAAGTTTCACCTGGTAACAGTCGCGTGGACGCAAACATGCCGACATTCTCACAGATAATAGGAGATCGTCGGCGGGCGCCGCCCCCTGGAAAAGGAAAGCACGAAACGGGAACTGGACGGTTAAAGGGGTGACTTGTTGGGGTTGCTGGGGGCACACGGCACGCATGGTGGGGTTGCGGCATCCGTGCTCGTCCACTAGGACTGCGGACTTTTGAGAGGAGGCGCTCCTGATGATAACAGACCCCATACGACCAGATTTCCACCCTAATTGAGAAAAAAAAAAAATTAAATTTGGTTACTCATGTTTTGCTTTTTTCAACTGACGACGACTCAATTCGGAAAATATTTGTTGGATTAATTCTCTGACTGACTAGGTTTTATCAGATTTAGTTCTTAAAAAGAATACTGTTAAAACCAGAAATCCCCAAGAGTCTTTCTAGTTCTTAAAAAAAAATAAAACACTAAGAACCCCGAGATACTTTCGATTTCTTTAAAAAAACGAAACACTCGAGAATGCCGGAAAAAAAAATAAAACACTAGGGACCCCCGAGATTTTTTCGATTTCTTAAAAAAAATTAACCACTTGAGAATGCCGAAATTCCTTAGATTTCTTCAAAATGTCAAACAACAGGAGTCTTCTAGATTCCTTCTAGTTGTTTAAAAAATTAAAACACTTGTGTCCCCTGAGATCCTTTCAACTCTTAAAAAAATATCAAGGGTTCTTAAGATTCTTTTAAATTCTTCAAAAAATAAATACCAGAGAATGTCGAAATTCTTTGGATTTCTTCCAAATATAAAACACCAGGAGGCCTCTAGATTTCTTCTAGTTCTTTAAAAAATTAAAACACTAGAATCCCACGAAATCCTTTCGACTCCAGAAAAAATCAGGGGTTCTCAAGATTCTTTAATTAAAAAAAATAAAACACTAGGGAGCCCCGAGATTTTTTAATTTCTTTAGAAAAATTAAACACTCGAGAATGCCGAAATTCTTTGGACTTTTTCAAAATGTCAAACACCAGAGGCCTTCTAGATTCTTTCTAGTTATTTAAAAAATTTAAACACTTGGGGCCCTTGAGATCCTTTCGACTCTTAAAAATCATCAAGGGTTCTTAAGGTTCTTTTAAATTCTTCAAAATATAAAACATTAGGGGGCCTCTAGATTTCTTCTAGTCGTCTAAAAAATAAAACTCTAGAAACCCACGGGATCCTTTCTACTCGAAAAAAACCGTCAGGGATTCTCAAGATTTTTTTAAATTAAAAAAACACTAAGGACCCCCCGAGATTTTCAAATCGTCAAAACTTCCAATCCTCAAATCATCAAAATTCTCAATTCACCAAATCCTCAAATCATCAAAATCTTCAATTCTTCAAGCTCTCAAGTCTTCAAATTTCCAAATCATCAAATCGTCGAATCACCAAAGTCCTCAAATTTTAAAAATCCTCAAATCATCAAAATCTTCAATTCACCAAATCATTAAAATTCTCAATTCACCAAATCCTCAGAACCCCAAAATCCTCAAATCTTCAAATTACTAAATCCTCAAATTCTAAAAATCCTCAAATAACCAAATCGTCAAATCATTAAATTCTCAAATCTTTAAATCACAAAATTTTCAAATCATCAAAATTCTCTATCCTTCAAGTCCTCAAATCATCAAATCCCCACATCTTCAAATTACTAAATCCTCAAATCATCAAAATCCTCAATTTACTAAATCCTCAAATTATCAAAATCTCCCCTCAAAATCCTCAAATCACCAAAACCTCAAATCCATAAATCTTCAAATTACCCTATCCTCCAATCCCTAAATCTTGACATTACTAAATCCTCAAATTCTAAAAATCCTCAAATTACCCGTCTTCAAATTTTCAAATCGTCAAATTCTCAAATCTTTAAATCACAAAATTTTCAAATCATGAAAGCTCCAAATCATCAAAATTCTCTATCCTTCAAGTCCTCAAATCATCAAGTCCTCACATCTGCAAATTACCAAATCCTCAAATCTTTAAATGACTAAATCCTCAAATTCTAAAAATCCTCAAATAACCAAATCGTCAAATCATTAAATTCTCAAAATTTTAAATCACAAAATTTTCAAATCATCAAAATTCTCTATCTTTCAAGTCTTCAAATCATCAAATCCTCACATCTTCAAATTACCAAATCCTCAAATCATCAAAATCCTCAATTTACTAAATCCTCAAATTATCAAAATCTCCCCTCAAAATCCTCAAATCACCAAAACCTCAAATTCACAAATCTTCAAATTACCCTATCCTCCAATCCCTAAATCTTGACATTACTAAATCCTCAAATTCTAAAAATCCTCAAATTACCCGTCTTCAAATTTTCAAATCGTCAAATCATCAAATTATCAAATCTTTAAGTTACAACATTTTCAAATCATCAAAGCTCCAAATCATCAAAATTCTCTATCCTTCAAGTCCTCAAATCTTTAAATTACTAAATCCTCAAATTCTAAAAATCCTCAACTAACCAAATCGTCAAATCATTAAATTCTCAAAATTTTAAATCACAAAATTTTCAAATCATCGAAGCTCTAAATTATCAAAATTCTCTATCCTTTAAGTGCTCAAATCATCAAATCCTCAAATCACCAAAACCTCAAATTCACAAATCTTCAAATTACCTTATCCTCCAATCCCTAAATCTTGACATTACTAAATCCTCAAATTCTAAAAATCCTCAAATTACCCGTCTTCAAATTTTCAAATCGTCAAATCATCAAATTATCAAATCTTTAAGTTACAACATTTTCAAATCATCAAAGCTCCAAATCATCAAAATTCTCTATCCTTCAAGTCCTCAAATCTTTAAATTACTAAATCATCAAATTCTAAAAATCTCGTCAAATCATTAAATTCTCAAAATTTTAAATCACAAAATTTTCAAATCATCAAAGCTCTAAATTATCAAAATTCTCTATCCTTCAAGTGCTCAAATCATCAAATCCTCTCATCTTCAAATTACCAAATCCTCAAATCATCAAAATCCTCAATTTACTAAATCCTCAAATTATCAAAATCTCCCCTCAAAATCCTCAAATCACCAAAACCTCAAATCCACAAATCTTCAAATTACCCTATCCTCCAATCTCTAAATCTTGACATTACTAAATCCTCAAATTCTAAAAATCCTCAAATTACCCGTCTTCAAATTTTCAAATCGTCAAATAATCAAATTCTTAAATCTTTAAATCACAAAATTTTCAAATCATCAAAGCTCCAAATCATCAAAATTCTCTATCCTTCAAGTCCTCAAATCTTTAAATTACTAAATCCTCAAATTCTAAAAATCCTCAAATAACCAAATCGTCAAATCATTAAATTCTCAAAATTTTAAATCACAAAATTTTCAAATCATCAAAGCTCTAAATTATCAAAATTCTCTATCCTTCAAGTGCTCAAATCATCAAATCCTCACATCTTCAAATTACCAAATCCTCAAATCATCAAAATCCTCAATTTACTAAATCCTCAAATTATCAAAATCTCCCCTCAAAATCCTCAAATCACCAAAACCTCAAATCCACAAATCTTCAAATTACCTTATTCTGCAATCCCTAAATCTTGACATTACTAAATCCTCAAATTCTAAAAATCCTCAAATTACCCATCTTCAAATTTTCAAATCGTCAAGTCATCAAATTATCAAATCTTTAAATCACAAAATTTTCAAATCGTCAAATCATCAAATTCTTAAATCTTTAAATCACCAAATTTTCAAATCATCAAAGCTCCAAGTCCTCAAACCATCAAAATTCTCAATACACCAAATTCAGTAAATTGAACAATCGGCTAATTGAAAAATCGAAACATTGAAAATTTAAAAACTCCGAAAATTGAAAAACTGAACTGAAAACTCGAATGATCGGAAAACCTAAAATTTTAAAAATTGAAAAGTTAAAAATTTCCAAATGTTGAAAAATTGAGAAATCGAAGAATAAAACAGTCGAAGAATTGAAAAATCTAAAGTTTAAAAAACGAAAAATTGAAAATCCAAAAGGTAAAAATCGAGAAATGGAAAAGTCGAAATACAATAAAGTCCCAAAACTGAAATATGGAAAAATTGAAGAGCTGAAAAATCGAAACTTTGGGGAGTCGAGAAATGGGAAAACCAAAAAATAGATTAATTGAGAAATCGGAAAAGTGAAAATTCAGAAACATCAAAATTTCAAAAATTAAAATATCGAAAAATTGAAAAATGGAGGAATCGAAGCATCAAAAATCAAAAAAATAAAAATTCGAAAATCTAAAATTTAAAAATCGAAAAACTGAAAAATCAACAAATCGGGAAATCGAAGCTCGAAACTTTAAAAAACTGTTAAATTGAAAAATCGGATAATTCAAAAATCGAAACATCGAAAAATCGAAAAGCTGAAAAGTAAAAACTCGAAAAACCGACAAAATCGAAAAATTAAAATATCGGGAAATCGAGGAGAAGAAAAGTCAAGAAGCCGAAAAATCGAAAAGTCAAAGAATCAAAGTACTGGAAAATCCTAAAAACTGAAAGAAATATTCAAGAAGTTAGAAATTAAAAAATTCGAAAATTGAGAAATCGAAAAAGCAAAGTCGAAAAATCTTAGAATTAAAGAACTGAAAAATAGAAAGTTCGAGAAGTCAAGCAATGGGAAAATTAAAAAAATTAAACACCAGAGAATGTCGAAATTCTTTGGATTTCTTCAAAATATAAAACACCAAGGGGCCTCTAGATTCCTTCTAGTTGTTTAAAAAATTAAAACACTTGTTAGAAATTAAAAAATTCGAAAATTGAGAAATCGAAAAAGCAAAGTCGAAAAATCTTAGAATTAAAGAACTGAAAAATAGAAAGTTCGAGAAGTCAAGCAATGGGAAAATTAAAAAAATTAAACACCAGAGAATGTCGAAATTCTTTGGATTTCTTCAAAATATAAAACACCAAGGGGCCTCTAGATTCCTTCTAGTTGTTTAAAAAATTAAAACACTTGTGGCCCCCGAGATCCTTTCGACTCTTAAAAAAAAACATCAAGGGTCTTGAGATAATTTTAAATTCTTAAAAAAATAAAACACCAAGGACCTCCGAGATCCTTTTCATTTCCTTAAAGAAATTAAACACCAGAGGATGTCGAAATCATTTGGACTTTTTCGGCCAGGGGCTTCTAGATTTCTTCTAATTGTTTAAAATAATAGAACACTAGAGACCCACGGGATCTTTTCGATTCCAAAAAAAAAACATCAGGGGTTCTTAAGATTCTTTTAAATTAAAAAAAAAAAAAACACTAGGGATATCCGAGATTTTTTATATTTCTTTAGAAAAATTAAACACCAGAGAACGCCGAAATTATTTCGACTTAAAAAAAAAAAATAAAACGCCAGGGGGCTTTTAGATTCTTTCTAGTTCTTTAAAAAATAAAATTCCTCTCCAAGATTCTTTCTAGTTAAAAACACTAGGAACTCGTGACCTTTTCGATTTCTTTAAAAAAATTAAACACCAAAAATTGCCGAGATTCCTTCGATTTTTTCGAAAATTAAAACACCAATGACCTTCTAGATTATTTCTAGTTCTTTAAAAAAATAAAACACCAAGGATCCCGAGATTTTTTCGATTTCTTAAAAAAAATAAACGCTAGAGATTGCCAAGAGTCCCCTAGACTCTTTCTAGCTCTTTAAAAAAATAAAACACTGGGAACCCCCTAGATTTGTTCCACTTCTTAAACAAACATCAGGGGTCCTCAAGATGCTTTTAAATTCTTCAAAAAATGAAACACTAGGGACCCCCGAGATCCTTTCGATTTCTTTAAAAAAATTAAACACTAGAGAATGCCGAAATTTTTTGCAGTTACTGAAAATATAAAACACCAGAGGCCCTCTAGATTCTTTCTAGATGTTCAAAAAAATTAAACACTAGAGAATGACAACACTTTTTCGACTTCTCCAAAAAATAAAACACCAGATTCACGACACACCCGAGATCCTTTCGATATCTTAAAAAAAATTAAAGACCAGAGATTGCCGCAATTCTTTGGATTTCTTCAAAATATAAAACACCAGGGGCCTCTAGATTTCATCTAGTTGTTTTAAAAAATAAAACACTAGAGACCCACGGGATCCTTCAATTCCAAAAGAAAACATCAGGGGTTCTCAAGAATCTTTTAATTTATTAAAAAAATAAATAAATAAAACACTAGCGACCCCCGAGATTTTTTTTATTTCTTTAGAAACATTAGACACCTGAGAAAAGTTCTTTCGACTTAAAAAAAAATAAAACGCCAGAGGCCCTTCAGATTCTTTCTAGTTCTTTAAAAAATAAAACACCAAGAGTCTCCAAGATTCTTTCTGGTTTAAAAAGAAAATAGAACACTATGGACTTTCTATCTTTCAATCCTTCATAGATCACCAGAGATTTCCGAGATTCTTTCGATTTCTTCAAAAAAATTAAAACATCAGGGACCTTCTAGATTAGTTCTAGTTCTTTAAAAAAATATATATAAAACGCAAGGGACCCCGAAATTTTTGCGATTGCTCAAAAAAAATAAACATCAGAATCCCAGAAATCCTTTCGATTTCTTGAAAAAATTAAACACCAGGGACTTTCTAGATTATTTCTAGTTTTTAAGAAAAATGAAAGACTAGGGACCCCCTACATCCCTTCCACTACTTAAAAAAACATCACGGGTGTTCAAAATTCCTTTAAATTCTTAAAAAAATAAAAACTAGGAGTTCTCAAGGTTCTGTCTAGTTGTTAAAAAAAAAAACACTAGGCACCCCCCGACCAAATTTGAGCTGATATGAGCAGATTTGACCTGACTTGAGCTGACTTGACCAAATTTGACCTGATTTATCCAAATTTGACTTAAGTTAAGCTGACCAGACTTTCATGTAGATGTATTACTATACTTAATTAGTGAAGTGTCAATTATAAGAACAAACGTTTTAACCTTAACATCAGGGGTCCTCAAGATTCTTTTAAACTCTTAAAAAAATAAATAAATAAAACATCAGGGATTCCCAAGATCCTTTCGATTTCTTAAAAAAAAAGCACCAGGGCTCCTGAGGTTCTTTTAATTTCTACCAGAAGCAATACGTCTGGAATCCCAAGATTTTTTAACACCGTTACGAGAAAAAATTAAAGTGGAGGAAAAAAAGAACATTTGGCATATAAAAAAAAAACCTAAAATTATTCGACTTGAAAAAGCTGATTTTCAGTGTTTAATGGCACATTAAAATGTTAAAAAGACATTCCTGGCAAGGAATCTTCCCGTTACTCACACAGTGTCATTTAGCCTCTCTTTACACAATTACCACCATCTCCAACTTCAATCACTTCTCCGCCTCGCGGCCAAGATCAAAGCATCCTCGTCTTCAACTTCGCAGCCCAATAAAATAAAATATCTCTCTGAAACAAATATCTGCCTACTCATTTCAAACCGAAACATCCAAATCCCACCCTCCGTCGACGCACATATCGATTCACCCCCTATAAATACCCAGTAATCTGTTTACGCGTTGAAAGTTTGTCAGAGAACAAAGTTGAGACGTCAGAGGGCTTTTCAAATTGTATAATTAATGATAGCTATCCGAACATGTTGCTTAACGGCCGCTGGAGACCCATCGCTTTCATCTCCCGAATTTCCCCCGGGGGGCGCAAATAACCGAACATTTACTGTTTACTCACCGTCTCCCTCGCGCACGGAACTCCTCAGCAGGAGCTCGTCCCCGAGACGAACGGCGCTGCCTTGCTGGACCGGCTGGTCGAAAACGCCATTGCTTTTACGCAAAAGGGTGACCGTGGAGTCGAATCTGCGCTGGCTGCCTCCAGAGGCCACCGGGATGGACCGGGCGCTGGAGCGACCCTGCCTGTAAATTTGATTAAACAGAAACACTTAAGTCAGTGGTGCACGTTTCAAAGTTTGATAAAATATGAGGCTAGTAATAGTTTCTTGAAACATTAATGCATCCTATTTCAAAGTTTCAGTGTAATAAGGATCGTTCTGTTTGGCGATTAAGTACTTTGCCAACCAATATTTATCAAACTTTGGCCATAAATCTGAAAGTTTCCCTCATATGCCGCACGCTCTGTTATCTCACATTATTCCCCTCGGAATCGCAGTTTTATTTGGAAATAAACTCTTTAATAACACTCCAGCGATTTTCACACTATTTTTTTTTTTATGATAAACGACACAGTTGATTAAATCAAGTGGTAGCTACGTAATAAAAACACTTTCGGTGAGTGGGGGAAAGGGGCGTGGCAAATATGCCTCGTTATAAATAGTCAACTCACTCGTTTTGAGCGCTCAGCCTCAAATGCTTCGTCTGCGACACCACCGCCTCCTGGGGCACGCACTGCAACGTCACCAACGAATCTTCCGCCAACCGGAGTCCCGGAACCGCCGCCATCCTCACAACCACGCACATTCTGCCCCCACAAGCCCGTATCCCGCAATCCGCCATTCTCTGTCCTTCCAGCTCTATCCTGAACACGTCCCTCTCGGAAGCCACCACACAATCGGTTCCCTCCATCACCGGAAACCCCCTACCAGCCGCCCCCACTCGGAACAGCGCCCGGAAGTAGCCGCCGCCGTCCTGGGAGTCCCAACAGGACATGTTCAAGACGTGCAAAGGAGCCTGTTTTGTCGGCGGCAAGTACTGCCCGGGGGCCGGGATCACCACGCCGTCGTCCAGCGGCGGCAGGATCTCGTCGTGGAGCGGCGGCGGCGGCGTGCCGACGGGCGGGTACGCCGGGATGATCTAATCACAGTTTAACATGACTGATGATGATAATTCGTGAGACTTACCTGGGGGACGTCGTCGGCGACGGGCGGCGGCAGGTACGCCGGCTCGTCGAAGAGCGGCGGCGGCGGCACGGGGTAGGAGTAGCCGGCGGCGGCGGCAGCGGCTGCCGCCCCCAGGAGTACGATAAGAGTGTAGACGTAGGTGGACATTGTTTCTCGACACATGGTTTCCCGAAATGGGCTAATGGTGGCATGCGGCGTTCTTATAGTACGGTTTTTGAGGAGTCGTGATCTGAGATTCGGGTGCACTCATTCTCGAATTCGGTGTTTAATCTGTTGTTTTATGGACGTGCATAATGGGTTTTATTGATTTGTGTGGTAGCCGGACAAGCATGGGACATGTTCGGCCCAGAATTCGAGCCTGGTTGTGAAATTTTGATGAGCGAATGTGGGTTAAGTTGGAAGGAAATGCGTTTCGAGTGATTAGTTTTGTTGTTGGTTGGAGCTAGGTGGTTTTTAGCGAAACTGGATTTGAGGTAATGGGTGTTAATGGATGGTAGGGACAAATTCAACACGTGGAATCAGTTTGTAGAAATAAATGTAATTGGTTTTTAATAATAATAGTAATAATAAATAATTGGTGCTGTATTTCACATCAAGGAACTAAACCAAAATGTAAGTTAATCGTCATGAAACATTAATAATAATAATAATAATAATAATATTAATAGGAGAATAATGGGAGCTGGATTTACGTAGTAGGTAATTGTTATTAGAAAAAAAATTTAATCGAAAATTATTTCGACAGAAGCTCCCTCGCTTCTGAAGTACAATCCAACAATTTTTATTTTTACTTTTTTTGTGATAACCTCTATGGAGTAAAAACAATATAGAAGGTACGAGTCAGTGTAATAAAAAAAAGTTTTCACCTTCTTTAAAAAAGGACAGTAGGGAAGGTTTCATATTATTATTAAAAAAATCACATTAAAAAAAAGACATTTGGGGCTCCCTAGAAGGTTTTACATTAACAAAAAAAAACAGTTGGAACCCCCGAGAAGGTTTCACATTCTTAAAAAAGACAGTTGGGATCCCCGAGAATGTTTTACATTTTTTAAAAGACAGTTTGGGCTATCGAGAAGGTTTTACATTAAAAAAAAAGTTGGGACCCCCGAGAAGGTTTTACATTTTTAAAAAGGACATTTGGGACCCCCCAAGAAGGTTTCATGTTCTAAAAAAAATCTAGCGCCCCCGAGAAGGTTTTACATTTTTAAAAAAGATAATTGGGACCCCCGAGAAGGTTTTACATTTTAAAAAAAGATAATTGGGACCCCCGAGAAGGTTTCACATTCTTAAAAAAATAGATTTGGCGCCCCCGAGAAGGTTTTACATTTTTAAATAGGACAGTTGGGACCCTCGAGAAGGTTTTACATTTTTAAGAAAGAAAGTTGGGATCCCAGAGAAGGTTTTGCATTTTTTAAAAGGCAGCTAGGACTCTCGAGAAGGTTTTACACTAAAAAAAACAGTTCAGACCCCCGAGAAGGTTTTACATTTTTAAAAAGGACATTTGGGACCCCCCAAGAAGGTTTCATGTTCTAAAAAAAATCTAGCGCTCCCGAGAAGGTTTTACATTTTTAAAGAAGATAATTGGGACCCCCGAGAAGGTTTTACATTTAAAAAAAAGATAATTGGGACCCCCGAGAAGGTTTCACATTCTTAAAAAAATAGATTTGGCGCCCCCGAGAAGGTTTTACATTTTTAAGTAGGACAGTTGGGACCCTCGAGAAGGTTTTACATTTTTAAGAAAGAAAGTTGGGATCCCAGAGAAAGTTTTGCATTTTTTAAAAGGCAGCTAGGACTCTCGAGAAGGTTTTACATTAAAAAAAAAAACAGTTCAGACACCCGAGAAGGTTTTATATTTTTAAAAAGGACATTTGGGACCCCCCAAGAAGGTTTCATATTCTAAAAAAAAACATTTAGTGCCCCCGAGAAGGTTTTACATTTTTAAAACAGATAGTTGGGACCCCCGAGAAGGTTTCACATTCTTAAAAAAATAGGTTTGGCGCTCCCGAGAAGGTTTTACATTATTAAAAAGGACAGTTGGGACCTCCAGGAAGGTTTCATATTCTAAAAAAAAAACATTTAGCGCCCCTGAGGAGGTTTTAGATTTTAAAAAATGACAGTTGGGACCCCGAGAAGGTTTCCTATTGTAAAAAAAATTCATTTGGGTCCCCCGAGAAGGTTTCACATTCTTAAAAAAATAGATTTGGCGCCCCCGAGAAGGTTTTACATTTTTAAATAGGACAGTTGGGATCCTCGAGAAGGTTTTACATTTTTAAGAAAGAAAGTTGGGATCCCAGAGAAGGTTTTGCATTTTTTAAAAGGCAGCTAGGACTCTCGAGAAGGTTTTACATTTTTAAAAAGGACATTTGGGACCCCCCAAGAAGGTTTCATATTCTAAAAAAACATTTAGTGCCCCCGAGAAGGTTTTACATTTTTAAAACAGATAGTTGGGACCCCCGAGAAGGTTTCACATTCTTAAAAAAATAGATTTGGCGCCCCCGAGAAGGTTTTACATTTTTAAAACAGATAGTTGGGACCCCCGAGAAGGTTTCACATTCTTAAAAAAATAGATTTGGCGCCCCCGAGAAGGTTTTACATTTTTAAAAACAGATAGTTGGGACCCCCGAGAAGGTTTCACATTCTTAAAAAAATAGATTTGGCGCCCCCGAGAAGGTTTTACATTTTTAAAACAGATAGTTGGGACCCCCGAGAAGGTTTCACATTCTTAAAAAAATAGATTTGGCGCCCCCGAGAAGGTTTTACATTTTTAAAAACAGATAGTTGGGACCCCCGAGAAGGTTTCACATTCTTAAAAAAATAGATTTGGCGCCCCCGAGAAGGTTTTACATTTTTAAAACAGATAGTTGGGACCCCCGAGAAGGTTTCACATTCTTAAAAAAATAGATTTGGCGCCCCCGAGAAGGTTTTACATTTTTAAAAACAGATAGTTGGGACCCCCGAGAAGGTTACACATTCTTAAAAAAAAAATAGATTTGGCGCCCCCGAGAAGGTTTTTCATTCTTAAAAAGAACAGTTGGGACCTTCAGGAAAGTTTCATATTCTAAAAAAAACATTTAGCGCCCCTGAGGAGGTTTTACATTTAAAAAAAAAACAATTGGGACCCCCGAGGTTTCCCATTGTTAAAAAGATACATTTGGGTCGATTTAAAAAAAAAATGATCGAAAGCTGTTTCGACAGAACTTCTCTCGCACCTAAAGTACATGAAACATATCCAGCATTTTTAGTTGAGTTTTTACTTTACAGAATTTTCAATATTTTTTGGATTGGCGCACTGTAATACTAAAAATAACAGTATTGTTTTCCAAAATTTTCTGGGAAAATGAAGTGAGCCATTCCTGATTATAAATAAAATAAATTCATATATTCATTAATTTTTTTCACACCTGTATAAGGAAATCTAAAAATATGACTGCAATGATAATTCCCAAGTAAAAATTCATGATATTTTGCACAGAATTTAACTCGTTAATATGGAAATTTGCAACTTAACACCTTTAAATTTCTCAAGTTTTTACAAGCTTAATAGGGGTAAAATTAGTTTTATCTTAACAAGTACTAGGCTAAAATAAGACTTATGTTAGCAAGTACTAGCCAAAACCTGTCTTATCTAACCAAGTACTAGCCCCGCCCACCCGCCCCCTGTTTTCCCAGAGGATATGTCATTTGCCAAAATAAGACTTATATGTTAGCAAGTACTAGCCAAATTCAGTCTTATTTTACCAAATACGAGCCCCGCCCACCCGCCCCCTGTTTTTTCAGAGGATATGTCATTTGCCAAAATAAGACTTATGTTAGCAAGTACTAGCCAAAATGCGTCTTATCTTACCAAATACTAGCCCCGCCCACCCACCCCCTGTTTTTTCAGAAGATATGTCATTTGCCAAAATAAGACTTATGTTAGCAAGTACTAGCCAAAACCCGTCTTATCTAACCAAGTACTAGCCCCGCCCACCCGCCCTTTATTTTCTCAGAGGCTAGTACTTGCTAAGGTAAAACTTATTTTGGCAAATGACATATCCTCTAAGAATAGTTAGTCGTGTAAATTCTAGTTAGTAAGAAAGAAATTGTTGAGTTTAACCCACGCCGATTTTATTCACCCGTTCAACGTAATAATATTTTTAAAAGACATTTGGGACACCTGAACTAAAAATAACAATTTTTTTGAGTCATCTCTTTAAGCAAATCTAAAAAATATGAATGCAATGATAAATCACAAGTAAAATATTCATCATATTTTGCACATTTTGGGTAGAATTTATTCGGCAAAATTTTGAGATGACGTCATCAATTTTTGGGGAGGAATAAACAGATAGATTTGATTAACAATTTACCATGCTTATAATAACTTTAAAACGTCTGCAAGATTTTTCTAAGTATTCAGTAAAATAAATTGACTGATTCATTAATTTTTTTTATGCGAGTCTGTATAAGCAAAGCTAAAAAATGGGGTTCTTAATTTGACCAGTAACAAAATTGCTCGAACGCTATGTATAATCCAACAAGGCATAAATAACACCCCTTGTCCTTGAGCACTAGGTAACAGCAATCTGAGCTCAAGTGTTTATTTATGTTTATACATCGCAAGAATGTCACGCAGAAATTAGTTTCATTTGAATGAGTTTGTCTTCTCAAAACAGGACTAAAATTATTAACAAAACAAAAAATTTATGATGACGTCCTCAACATGGATAATTCTAGCACAAAAGAAAGTAGCAACAGCGTTATAAAACCTGTAAGTTCGAATAAAAATCGCGGATTTGGTTCTCTGGTTCTGGCACTTGATCCACTTTGAGCCGCAGATAAGCTCTGATGTTAACAAAAGGAACATAAATAGTGACGGCTCGCGCTAATCCCTCATGATTTACGAAATTAATCAATAATTTGGCATAAAACAGGTAATATTAACTTTGTCAACTGACATTTGAGATAACACTTTATCTTTACCTAAACAAATTAACATTGGTCGTGAATCGTTTTTTAATGCTATTAGCGTGTCATGAAGGTGTAGTTATATAGTAATAAGTTCTTTATTCTAACGGCTAAGCCTAAATACAGGAAATATAATAACTAAATTACATGTAAGAAAAATAATAAAGAAAACACCACCTATGACAATTATTGTTCGATTTAGGGTTACATTATGCAAAGACCACCAACTTGGCCACGTCAGCGCGATATTTTGGTCCGATTTGATTGGAAAACTGCAACCGTATCCTTGATTGAAACTCAAGTGATAAAATCTTGAAAATAATTTTCTCAGTTATTCAAGCCACTCGCGTAAATTTGCCATTATTTCCCCCTTCCTAAACATCTAATCTCCAAACAACAATTTCGTAATCCCCAAAGCATACGCAACACCGCTTGAATTACGATTAGGTGTATACAGCACTAGGTAAATATCGAGAACGTTTGTTCTGTTAAACAACCACCACTGAATATTTCAATGCAAACGTAAACATTCATCACACGCTCAACTTCCTTTAATTAAAGACATTACTCCGCGTCGAAAAAAAGCCAATTTCTAAGCGTTTTACGAAGCCTGTGTTCCGCTTTGTTAACTGTCCAGGCAAGTCGAACCGTAAACAATAATTTTCCAATAAAAACTTTCCATCAAATTTAATTGAAATTTTACGACATCGCATTATCCCAGATCCGAACTGAAACCCGTCGCCGCCGCTGCCTTAAAAACGTGCTTAATGCCTCACGATAGATAAAACATGTTGAAATAACTAATAATTCATCCCGTTTAAAAATAGTGCGTGGTTTAACCAACCCAGATTAAGCTCAATTATGCATTATCATAACATACCTACCGGGTGATTCCGCGAAATAAATCATCGAAAATTAACGCAGGAAGCATTCTTTATGAATGAATTATCCCAAGGCACCTATTAATAATGCAGAGGCGTTATAGTTTTGATCGTTTCAGGGTATACCTTGATGCATGGTCACCGCCGAGCGGCCCATGGAGGGCGGCGCCCCTCGCCCCCGCGGCCCACCGCCCCCCCGGCGCAAGTTCAGCTTCCCGGCCGCCCTCACCGTGTCCACGGACCCCGGCGGCCCGGCGCAGTCCCTCACCAAGCGGCGCTTCAGCAACGTGGGCGACGCCGTCACCCGCAAGCTCTCCACCATCGGCTGGAGGCGGCCGCCCGAGGAGGTGGTAGCCGTGGGGCGCGCTCTGTGCGCGCTGTACATCCGCAGTCGGCTCAAGCGCGCGGGGCTGTTCAACCGTAAGCTGGGACTGACCAGAGTGCGGAGCACCGTGAGCGCCGTCCCCGGCGGCGGCGGCGTCATGGTCAGGGACGTGTTCCCGGGTTTGTCGTGCGCGTGCATGGAGCTGGAGCGGGCGCACCCGAGGCTCTACCTCAACATCGCGCGCCAGACGGGGGTGGGCTCGGACGCCGGCGTCGGAGGGTTGCTGGCGGCGATCGGGCACCAGCTGCTGCGGTGCGACCCCACGTGGGGCAAGGTGGTGGCCGTGTTCAGCGTGGCGGGCGGGCTCGCCGTTGACTGCGTGCGGCTGGGACACCCTGAGAACCTGCACGACTTGCTGGACGGGATGGGGGAGCTGCTGGAGGACAGGATGGCGATGTGGGTGGCGGCTAATGGAGGATGGGTAGGTGGAGAGTCAGCGATTTGGTCGACTTCTGAAATGGTTTATTATATACTAAGTTTGAACCTAAGAATACAAGTGTCAGATGTACACCGGAAGTAGACTCTTTCACGTTTTTTTTTATTGTTGCAGACTGGACTGAGCAATCACTGCCGACCGGAGGACCAAGACATCTCGTTCGTCGAATACCTCGGAATCTTCGCGCTCGTTCTGGCGATTCTACTCACGGCGTACATAATCGTGAGGTTCTTCGTCAAGTTTAGCATGTTATAGCTTATATTAAGTATACGTTATATTTAAACATTACATAAATAAATTATCTTACAAAATCTGTCTCTAACTGGTCACAAGTCACTCCTCCGTCGCCGCCTATAGGTAAGTCGCGAAGAAAACGCCACCGCTCCGTAACATACGACATAAATAAGTATTTATTTTAAGTATATTTACATTAAAGTAAGACAGAACCTTATCCTAACCTAACTAAATCCTCTAACTTTTGTACAACTTCAGGAATACCAGTTTACGATCACCACTTATCAAAAAAAACACTCAACTAAATACGTCTTCGTTGCAGACCGTAACTACTATATACAAGCCATAACAACACAAAATTACCCTATCTTCAGTCTCACCCTTAACTCAACTACCACTTAATTAATTCTCCTTGAAAATGGAATAAACTCTACACTAAAAACACGTAGTAAAAGTTTTAATGCGTGAGCGCATGGTTGATGCTCTGGGTCATGATCGGGTACGACATCATCGGCTGCGTGGTATTGGACATGGCGATCGCCTGCGAGGTGTTGATCCCATTCCTGTGAATCTCGATTTGTTGACTCGGCTGCGCAATCAGCTGCTGCGGCACGTTTGCGATGGCGATCTGCTGCGCCTGCGACGTCAGTTGCGGCGGGGGATTGGCCAGCGACGTCAGCTGCTGCTGCTGAGGCGTGTTAGCCAGCGTCAGCTGCGTGGTAGTGGCCAAAGCCAGTTGTTGCGCTTGCGACGTAAGTTGCGGCTGCGCTTGCTGCGCCAAGTTGTTAGCCAGACTCTGCTGCGCTATAGCCAACTGGGCTTGCGAACTATTGGCGATGGCCACCTGCGGCGGCGGATTCGTAGTGACTGCAAGAAAAATTCTAGACTTGTTTGCGGACTCGGGTCTGAACGGCATACCGAGTATCTGCTGACTGGGGGCCAAAATTTGCGCCGGCGACGCCATACTGACAGTAGGACAGCCTGCGATTGATACGTTCACTGGGTTGCAGGTGGACACTGTGGCTAGGGACACGGGGACCGTGGCCACGCTCGCCGTGACCGTCCGGATCACCTGGGGCGTGTTAGTATTCGTGGTGATGACGGCAGGCACGGTCACGGCTTCGTTGCGCTTGCTGGACACGCGCAAGTTGGCGTTCTGATCAAGGAGAAACTCGTTGGTGGCGGTCAAGTCCGAGACCTGCCGCTTCAGCTGAGCGATTTCTTTGTGGAGCATGGTGTTCTCTTCCTCGAGCATCAAGGTCCTACAACAATAAACTCCACAATAGTAACAATCATAATAATAATAGCATTGTTTAAGTATATTATAGTTGGACAACCTAATACAAATTTTACTTCGCCTAAATAGTGAGCTTTCGGACAAGGAATCCAGGGGGCGTGGGACAAATTTTTCGTCAACGCGCATTTTCACTACAGTGAGCGAACGTATTAGGTTTATTTTACTCTACTTCAGATGGCGCCATCAAACATTAGCAAAGGCAAACACCCTTCACTCTGCGCTTATACGAGGAGTTATCCATAAATCCATAATCAACATTGTTCCGTAAACAGTAATGTGTATAAACATATATGTACAAAATATGAAAATATACTTGACATAAAAAATATGAAGCAACGCGTTGTAGCGTAATACGAAAGAATTGTATTTAAATTAATTTGACGCCTATTTTTATTTGACTATATCTGAAGACTGACAGAAACTTTAAAAAGGGTTTTTAAACTGGTATAATTGTTTAGTTTTACAAGATTTAGTAAAATTTTGATTCGTGGTGTTACAAAAATATTAACACAAAATGAAAATATATATTCAAAGTAAATAATAGAATGATATAAACTTTCAGCGTTGACATTACAAATAATTACAAGACAGAAAGAGAAAACGCATGTTTGTAATACGGGGTTGTTAAAGGCTGCTTTGAAGACTGTTTGTTTCTATGAAAAACAATTGATGAAATCCGACGTTTTGGTAGATTTTGTTCCAAAAATACGAGATAACTAATTGTTTCTTGAACTAGTTTCCGTAACTTTTAAAATTTAAAAAGGATACGCCATTCTGCTGTAATAAAATCTAGAATAAGGTCAAAATACACATCCACTACGAAGAACTAACCCGTTTCGACCATTGGACTGTACAACGAATAAGTGAACAAAGTTCTTGAACATCTTAACGACTTAATACATGATGTTTCCGAATGACAAAATTTACATATCAAATTGTCTTATCAAATGGTAAAACACTCATCAAAATTTGTCACCAACAATGAGATGACGCAATCTCCAAATTTTACAATACTATATCCTCCGTTTACGGTTTACGCATCCGTGTTGAGTTTTTTGACCTTGGACGTCAAGATTTTTGGAAAAAAATGAACATTTTCCAATTTATAATGTTATTTAAATTTTAAAAAATAGCATAGTTCTGATCTTGTGATTTATAAATACGCTATTGAGACTTTTAGGCTTTTCGATTTCTCGATTTTTCAACTTTAAATGTCTCAATTTTTCAATATTTCAATTTTGGGCTTTTCCAATTCTTCCATTCTTCAAATTTTCCATTTCTCGATTTTCAATTTATTGTTAAACTTTAGATTTTTCAATTCTTCGACTGTTTTATATTTCGATTTTTTTTCGATGTTTTAATATTTCATTTTTTAAAATTCTAGGTTTTTCGATATCTCGAGTATTTAAATTTTTCAATTTTTCCAATTTTTAATTTTAATTTTCGAGTTTCCAGTTTTTCTTTTTAAAATTTTTCGATTACTCAATTTTTTAATTTCTCAATTTATCGAATTCAGATGTTTCGTTGTTTTGATTGTTCAGTTTCTCAATTTATCAACTTTTCAATTTGGGCGGGGCTAGTATTTGATAAGGTAAGACTGATTTTGGCACTTTTAACATTTTCCGTTTTTCAACTATTTTTGAAAATAGTTCAGTACATTTTCTTCTAGCTTTCGATATCCAGATGTCATTTTCGGCTTCATTTCTTAAGAAATTCCTACCGTTTTTCGAAAATCGCTAATTCAAATATAGCAATTTTTACAGTTGCCTCAAAATCGCTCGGTATAAAATTTTTGTAGATAAAAGAAGAAATTTTTATTAATTTTTGTTTCGCAAAATACAATTATTTTGAAAATGTACTTTCTGGTTTTTATGTATTCACAAAAATGCTTAAAATCCTAGGTTCTATTACTAGTGCCATTCCCACTTAACAGAAGCACATGATTAGCCCCGCCCACCCACCCTGTCTCATTTCAGTGATTAATTTTAACTGATGTGAGATGTGATTGAAATGAATGATTTTATACTGAACAGAAATTAAGTTAGTCGTTAGAATGAGAAGAGAGGGGGTGGGCGGGGCTAGTATTTGGTAAGATAAGACGGATTTTGGCAAATCACATACTTTCCAAGAAAATAGAGGGTGGGTGGGCGGAGCTAGTATTTGATAAGAAAAGACTGATTTTGGCACTTTTGACATTTTTTAACTATTTTCGAAAATTAGTTCAATACATTTTCTTCTAGATTTCGATATCTAGAAGTCATTTTCGGCTTCGTTTCTTCGGAGATTTCTACCGTTTTACTAAAATCGCTAACTGAACTATACCAATTTTTACAGTGGCGTCAAAATCGCTCTGTATAAAATGTTTGTAGATAAAAAGGGAAATTTTTATTCATTTTTGTTTCACAGAATACAATTATTTTGAAAATGTACTTTGTGGTTTTTATATATTCACAGAAATGTTTGAAATTCTAGGTTCTATTACTAGTGCCACTCCCACTAAACATAAGAACATGATTAGAACCGCCCACCCACCCTGTCTCATTTCAGTGATTAATTTTAACTGATGTGATTGAAGTCAATGATCTTATATTGAACAGAAATTAAGTTAGTCGTTAGAACGAGAAGAGAGGGGGTGGGCGGGGCTAGTACTTGGCAAGATAAGACGGATTTTTGCAAATCGCATACTTTCCAAGAAAATAGAGGGTGGGTGGGCGGGGCTAGTATTTGATAAGAAAAGACTTTTCGATTACTCAATTTTTTAATTTCTCAATTTATCGAATTCAGATGTTTCGTTGTTTTGATTGTTCAGTTTCTCAATTTATCAATTTTTCAATTTTTAACTTTCCTTTTCGACTTACGACTCCTCAATTTCTCGATCCGTCGATTTTTCGATTTCTCGATGTCTGAGTTTTTGAATTTTTCGATGTTTCGATTTTTGATTTTCCAATTTTTTAATGTTCCGATTTTTCAATTTTTTAAATCGAATTGGATTTCTCGATTCTTCAATTTTGCGATATTTTAATTGTTCAATGTTTTAAATCTTAGATTTTTCGATTTCTCGATTTTTTGACTTCTCAGTTCTTCAGTATTTAAATTTTTCAATGAAAAAATGTTGACGTTAAATTTTCAATTTTTTGATTTCTCAATTAATCTATTTTTGATTTTCCCACTTCTCAAAGTTTCGATTTTTCAGTTTTTCAATTCTTCAATTTTTCGACTTCGCTTTATCGGTTTTTCGATTTCTGAATTTTTGGATATTTCCTTCAGTTTTGATATTTTTCAATACTTCGATTCTTTGATTTTTCGACCTCTAGATGTTTCGATTTTTTATTTTTGGGTTTTCAGTTTTTCGTTTTTTACACATTAAATTTTTCAATTTTTCGATTGTTTTATATTTCAATTTCTCAATTTTTCAACTTTTCCATATTTTAATTTTTAAATTTCCAGATTTTTCGGTTTCTCGATATTTCAGTTCTTCAGTTCTTCAATTTTTGATTTTTCAATTTTTCGATTTTTTAAGTTTGCGATTTTTTGACTCTGCTTTTTTGACTTTTCTGTTTCTCAATTTTTTAATTTCCTAATTTTTGGATATTTCAGTTTTTCGATTTCTCAATTTTAACTTTTCAATTTTTAAATTATTAGTTTTTTCGATTTTTCGAGTTTTCAGTTCTTCTATATTTTAATTTTTCAATTTTCGGAATATTTAAATTTTCGATTGTCCAATTTTTTTTTATTTTTCGATTTTCCAATTGTTCGATTTTTGAATTAACCGATTGTTCAATTTCTCGATTTTTAAATTTTAGATTTTCCAATTTTTATTTTTTTTATTTTTTTATGTTTCGATTTCTCGATTTTACAATTTTCCCATATTTGAATTTTTCAATGATTTAAATTTTCGATTTCGAGAATTTACTGTGTTACAGTAGTCATCACTCATCAAGAACGATTATTGCTGTGCGTTCAAATGCCTACATACTGATATGCACGTGCATACAAGACGCATTTAAGGCTGTTTTAAGTCTGCTACATTTAATTTTTGCGATTTTAAATTTATTTCTTGATGTCTAAATCGTATATATTTAAATGGTGGTAAATATTTTGTGATACAATGCATTTTAGTTTCAACGATAATATGTATTTAGTGATTTGACTACTGTTAATAAAAAAAAATACGTAAGATGTTCATACTGAATTAATTTGGTGTTCATAGTTTGATGATAACCCATAGTTATTCTGGAAGCAAATTAGATGACTTGTTACTTATTAATTAAAGTAGTGGTGTTCATGGACAATATACTGCGATAATATTAAATTTTTGTTACCTTAACCTTTATTTGTTTTTGTGCAAATATACGTGCTACCACACACATGAAACAGGTATGCACTACATATATGTAGTCTTCAACACGTACGTTCGCTTATTTTGTGACTGCTCCCCGTACAACGTACTGACTAATACGTCCGTTTACTACCTTATCGACATCACGTGCTTACAGACTATTTTTACCTCCTTTCGTAAGGTACCGCCACTTCACGGTGAAGCGAGTGAGATGTAAAATGTATGTTCATTCTTTTCTACATGGGAAAGTGATTCTCCGTTTAGCTTGTCCATTGATTAAATACATATAGATAGACCCATGCTATTGTTTGGAGCGAACAGGCCAACGGCCGGCGAACAAGAGATGGCGCACCAACAGTCGGCCGTCAAACGCCGGCGAAAAGCTTGGACACCAATCGCGCGCGTAGATAACCCAAATCGCAGCAACAATACATTTAATAAAGCTACCACTCGACAGAGGGCGACGAAAACAATGTGTAAAAATCTCATAGTAACCATTTATATAATTTGCAACGTTGCCAGATGAGCCTAGCACAACTTTGCCGTTATTTCTAGTCGATTAGATTTTATTTCGTTTAAAAGTTTCTGGTGAATAAATGGAATTATTATAATGAATAAACAATACAAACAAATTATTACTTGTTATTTTAAATACTTGTTAGTGTTGATGAAAACATAAATGGTAATTAAAGTTATTCTAAATACGGTCCGGTCCGGTAGCTCAAATTTTACAGTACGAGTGATATGTTTCAGGACGAGTAGGTAGCCGAGTCTTTGATTTCGAAACGAGTACTGCGAAAAGAGTTACCGGACGTATGTTGTTATGTATTTTATTTCATACTGTCAACATACTTTTTTATTCGATAATATTATTATTATTTTGAGAAAAAATCCAAATCGAGTCACTTTTTCTGACATCGTTAGCAACCGCTCTTTGGTAAATGTTTTAATTTGTTTATTCGTGCAAATCAGCATCATATGTTTAAACACATAGTACTTATAACACTTTACAGGACTTATTGTTTTGTATAATCCGACTCGATGGACGAATGTTTTGTGCAATCCGTCTCGAAGGACCAATGTTTGTGCAACTCGGCTCGTCCTACCAGTATTTTTTGTAATCTGGTTGATACGACAATGTGATACCGAATTGTACTTTGATATTGCTCCAAGGACCTTTGTTTTCTTGCGTGCGAGATAATAGACAGCGTTCGGTTTCGATGTTTAATACAGGACGGTTACAGAAGTACTAAATTTACATTTGTATTTACAATAACAGGTAAAGCAAAAGAGACCCAAAAGGGTCAGTGGCCGCTTCCGGAAATGGAACACTTGTCTTTTTTGGCTCAATTTTATCGGACTTGTCCGTTTTTTTGATTTTACCGGAATCGTTCGATCCAGTAAAACGTCAAACTTGACATAGTATAAAGTAAAATAAATAAATTTTATTCAATTTTGACATGTAAACAAACGTTTATTTTGCCGTCAGTAGGCCAGTAAAGCTTTGGTTTATCCGGTAGCACCATAAAATTTTTAAACGGCTAGCGAAATAAAATTTTTATTTTGCTGTTTTAAAACCATGGTTACCATTTCTGTAATTTCTCCAATGCCTTGCTGCTCTTTCCATCTAAGGAACTTTTGATACACTTTCTGATTTGCTCTTTTTTGGGAGCAAGTTTTGCCGTTGGAATCTTGCATGATTTTGCAATTTTTCGATAATTTTAGTTTGTTTAAAATAAACAAACACCGTCGCCAGAGTCACATACTACACACACACACCTGATATTGTAACCTAAATTCTACGCATATAAAACTTTTATTTGGTCGCTGTCAATTCTGACGTTTCTCGAATGTGAACTTTGAATCACCAATTTTTTCACAATTTGGGACTTGGGGTTGTCAAAATTGAATAAAAGTTTGTATTACACTCGCGGTTAAAATGAATGTGTAACTCGCGGTCTTAAGGCGCTCGCGGCATACGCCGCTCTCGCCTTAAACTGGCCGCTCATTAAACATTCACTTTAACCGCTTGTATAATAAATAACTATTATGATGTAAATACAATTGAGTATATCGATAATTCGCTACTGAAAATTTATTGAAATATAATTTGTGTTAAAAAAAGATTTTTGTGGTTTTATGGTTTATTAACATAATTTACTTATTTGAAATTAAATATTTTTAATACATAGCACAAGTTCTTGATATTCTTTATTTTTATTCCAAGTAATAATTGTGTTTCCTTTAGTTTTAATCAAGAAAATTTTTCGGTTATTATCTAACATACTTTTGTACATTAAGAAACTCCATTCCACGTCACAGGACGTTACAGGACAATATTTAAATAAATAAAGAAGTCGTTTTATGTGTTTTAAAATTCACTCTGATTTCCGGACTTTAGACTTTTTGGTGTTTCACTTCGGCACAAGAACTAGTCGTATCTCAAAGAAAACAAACAGTGGAATATACCGTATTGTACCTATATTTCATAGTAAAAATGTCTAAATTTTTTTATGAAGAGACAGACTGTTCTAGGAAACTTTACTAAATCTTTTCATTTACGCGCTATTGAAAGTCCGCCGGTCTCACTGATACTTCTTACTTGGCTCCTACGAATGAAGCGAAAAATGCACAGATTGAAAATATAGTAAATGGGGTAGTATGTATGCGTGATATGTCGTTAGACATTAGGTATTTTGCAAATAAAATTTATTTCATTGAAAACAGAAACAATAAAAAACATATCTGTACAAGTTTGGAATCGATATGGCCAGTTGTTTAGAATATGCAAATATGCTTTTGTTCGTATTTACAATTATTACGAAACAGGTTATCAAATAATCTATTTTCACATGGCGAGACTTTCAAGCGGCCGAAGAATTAAAAACCATAAATTTTCATTGAAGAAACAAACTCTTCCAAGAAAATTACCAAATCTTTTAGTTTACGCACTATTGGACGAGCACTCCTTAAAACGGTCATTATACCTAATCGCATTATTCCATTGATACCTACCTACCGAAAACGTTTCCAGATGAGCCTAACACAAATTTGCGGATATTTCTCGTCAACCAGATATTATTTCATTTAGAAGTTTCTGGTAAATAAATGGGATTATTGTAATGAACACATAAAACAAATAAATTGTGATTATTATTTGTTGTTTTAACCCATTAGACGCTTATAGGCTTATAAGCATACTTTTCTTGAAAAATCGGTAATAAATTCAGTGAAACATCTTTGTGCCTTAATTCCTATTGGTAAACTGGGATTTTGAATAGAGGTCGCAGGAAAATTTTGTATGGTTTTATGGTTTATTTACATAATTTTCTTATTTACAATGAATGTTTTTAATATATAATACAAGTTCTTGATATTATTTATTTTAATTACATTTAATAAACCATAAAACCACAAATTTTTTTTTTAACACAAATTATATTTCAATAAATTTTTAGTAGCGAATTATCGATATACTTAATTGTATTTACATCATAAAATTTATTTATTTTACTTCATACTATGTCAAGTTTGACGTTTTACTGGATCGAACTATTCCGATAAAATCAAAAAAAACGGACAAGTCCGATAAAATTGAGCCAAAAAGGACAAGTCTTCCATTTCCGGAAGCGGCCACTGACCCTTTTGGGTCTCTTCTGCTTTACCTGTTATTGTAAATACAAATGTAAATTTAGTACTTCTGTAACCGTCCTGTATTAAACATCGAAACCGAACGCTGTCTATTATCTCGCACGCAAGAAAACAAAGGTCCTTGGAGCAATATCAAAGTACAATTCGGTATCACATTGTCGTATCAACCAGATTACAAAAAATACTGGTAGGACGAGCCGAGTTGCACAAACATTGGTCCTTCGAGACGGATTGCACAAAACATTCGTCCATCGAGTCGGATTATACAAAACAATAAGTCCTGTAAAGTGTTATAAGTACTATGTGTTTAAACATATGATGCTGATTTGCACGAATAAACAAATTAAAACATTTACCAAAGAGCGGTTGCTAACGATGTCAGAAAAAGTGACTCGATTTGGATTTTTTCTCAAAATAATAATAATATTATCGAATAAAAAAGTATGTTGACAGTATGAAATAAAATACATAACAACATACGTCCGGTAACTCTTTTCGCAGTACTCGTTTCGAAATTAAAGACTCGGCTACCTACTCGTCCTGAAACATATCACTCGTACTGTAAAATTTGAGCTACCGGACCGTATTTAGAATAACTTTAATTACCATTTATGTTTTCATCAACACTAACAAGTATTTAAAATAACAAGTAATAATTTGTTTGTATTGTTTATTCATTATAATAATTCCATTTATTCACCAGAAACTTTTAAACGAAATAAAATCTAATCGACTAGAAATAACGGCAAAGTTGTGCTAGGCTCATCTGGCAACGTTGCAAATTATATAAATGGTTACTATGAGATTTTTACACATTGTTTTCGTCGCCCTCTGTCGAGTGGTAGCTTTATTAAATGTATTGTTGCTGCGATTTGGGTTATCTACGCGCGCGATTGGTGTCCAAGCTTTTCGTCGGCGTTTGACGGCCGACTGTTGGTGCGCCATCTCTTGTTCGCCGGCCGTTGGCTTGTTCGCTCCAAACAATAGCATGGGTCTATCTATATGTATTTAATCAATGGCTTGTCCAACTATAATATACTTAAACAATGATAATAGTTTCGAGTGGGTACCTTGCGTCCGCTCGGCTCAAAATCGGCGGCGGCGGGTTCCCGGCGAAGTACCCCTTGAACACCTGTGGCCTCATCCTGTTGGCGTCCACCGGGTGCAAATCCCCGTTAGTGATAATCTCCGGCTCCGGGGGAGTAATGAATCGGCGCTTCGGCAATTGTATCCCGCACTCTTCGAACTCGTCAAACCCGATGGTCCCCCTTCTGTGTAAAGCGCTCGAGGTGTTCATCACCTGGGACTCGGTCAGCGGTCCCGGAGCACTAATACAAATCATGTTCTTCTTGTTATTGTTGTGAATCAGCTCCAGAATCTCGGCTTCTTCCTCCTCCCTCGTCAGGTGGCGGTACTTGCAGTAGTTGCGTCTGCACAACCCCTTCCTGAACTGGTTGCAGATGGGCTGCGCCCCCGGCAGCTGGTTCTTGCGGGTGGCCTCCGCCAGGATGTGGTTCGACATGATCCCGGTGTTCTTGTACTCGATCTCCTCCTCGGGAGTGCAATGGATGAACCTGGAACCGCCGTCTAACGCACGAACGAATTACAACCAACCCGTACTCACTTGCAGTTGTTCCTAGGACAGATGTTGTTCTGGAAGTCGTGGCAGAAGTTTAACTGCTTCATTTCGAATTCGTGCTTGTATTTGCAGTACTTTCGTTCACAAATGCCACGGACGAAGTCGCGGCAGATGCTGTCTTTGTCTTCTTTGTCTGTTTGTCGATCGTTTTTGTCTTCAGAGGTATCGGACATTTTGTTTGGAACGAAAAAATAAATACATTAAGAGCGCGCAAACCTGAAAAGGCAATGTGGGTTTTTAGAGATGAGGCGGTTCGGGCGGACTGTACCGTGCTCTAACAACAGAATACTGTTTAAAATCGACGCGTGTAACATTTTTACGTTTTGAGTTATCTATTTTAAACGGAGTTCCGGAGACGACAAGCAGTTTAGATTAAATCGCCATTATCATAAACACGGAAAATTTACCGACTCTGGAAAACTTCACCCGGGTATTTTTATTCCATTCGGACGCTCCATTAAAAATCGTCTTTGAAAACGAGAAAATTAGATGGAGCCACCCGACTTAAGCCCCCAAAGCACATAACCATGTCGGCCCCGTCGGGGGCGGCGTTAAAGGTCGCCATACACGCCCTATCGCAACCGGCGGCGCATTAATTGCCCCTTGCGACCGTATAAAACCGGCCGCCGCCAGCCGCCACCACAGTACACCCCTGAAAAACGCGAGGATGTATTCGCTCATCCTCTTCGTCGTCTACATCACAAGCGTCTATTCCGTTTCGGAAATATCAGAGGAGACGTGCGAGACCCTGATGTCCGACATAAACCTGATCAAAGGTAAATAGCGCTTTTCTTAAACAAAAAACTAACTTCGATAACTCGATTCCAGAGGAGTTCGACGAGCTGGGCCGCTTGCAACGCGTCTGCAATGGCGAGATCGCCGTCAACAAGTGCGAAGGTTCCTGCAAGAGCCAAGTCCAACCCTCCGTCATAACCCCGACCGGCTTCCTCAAAGTACGCGACGATTTCGCGTTTTCCCTCACTCAGATGTGTTTTTTTCAGGAGTGCTACTGCTGCCGCGAGAGCTTCCTCCGCGAACGCACCATCACTCTGACCCACTGCTACGACCCCGATGGTGTCCGTCTGACCGTCGAGAACGCCAACTCGATGGACGTGAAACTGCGAGAGCCGGCCGAATGCAAATGTTACAAATGCGGGGATTTTAGCCGATAATGTTCTTTGTGATTGATTTAGTTTACAATAAAGTGAATGATCAATTATCGTGTTGATTCTTACCTCGCTTCTACTCGGTAGGGAGGTTGTAGCGCACGTGCAATTCAGCCACTGACACTTGTTCAGCGTTCGCCAAGTAGCCGATCACCGCTTGGGTCAAGTCTTTCATTTCATTGTAGCGATGGAGGGCTGCGATCTGGGGCTGCAGATCGGTCGTGGCGCCTTCGGATTTTAATGCCTCGATCTGTTTACTTAATTCTGCATTTTCGTGGAGCAAAGATTCGTATTTTGATTGAGGAGGTTGTTCCATTTACAAGTCTGGAAAATGTATATAGTTTTTTCAATGATGGTAATTGTAGGCTTGATGGGTTAAATTACTAGAAATGGACACTCGTCATAACGATAATAAACACATGTGGAAAACAACCAGAGCAAAGTGTGCGATGATTTAATTCATGAATATCAGCAAGTGAGTCAATGTTAATTCTTGCAATGAATATATTAATAGCACAAATTTTCACCATTGTGGTAGATAGTTTTCTCTATTTATAAACTTTCACAAAATTTACAATATTGCTTTTGTGTGTTTCCATTTATTTCCTAAACCCCTAATTTAACCTGAATTGTCACATCACATTGGAAATTAGAAATCCGAAATGTGAAAAAGTGTCGCCTGAATCATCACCTTGTTAGCAGCATAAAAAAGGTCGAGGTAACCTGTAATAGAATCATCCTTGGACGCAATCCGTCCGTCTTAAATTAAATTCTTAATTATAAAATTGGTTTGAAATTAAGATTTAAATATTGGGAGGCGGTAGTTTCAAAAATACTAACCTCAAAATGTCAAAAACATGCGTATTAATTGACAAAATTGGCTAATTCAGCGCAACTGCGTAATAATAAGTTTTAGTAACATTTTATTGACGCAACTGTACCCAAAACCCTCTACGCTGTCACTGCCTCTAATGACAATCTTTATTTTTATAAAGTCTGTAGTCTGCAGTGTTTTGCAATTATTTAAGAACACCCCCTATATTGTTTTCCCGGCCGTTCTACCCCCTACCGCCTGAACAAGTTTTTTGCATAAACCAAAGTCACCCCTTTCATAATAGGTGATTTCAAGGAAATTCATCCATGGACCCAGCAGAGTCCGAGTCACGTTGAAACCCACATGTGACCCTACCATTGTCCAAGGGGTTGGCACACCATGACCCATTGACGCTAAAAATAGCGGCGGCCGCTACTTGAGCGAACAATTAACACCCAGACATGCTAAAAACCCGAATTTTCGACTTCTGCTTAATGGATTCGGCGAAATGGTGGCTTTGATTTCCCAACTTTTCCAAAAGCGACAGCGATATGGGAAAGCGTGAGAACCCCACAAAAACGACGTCCCCAATTAAACCCGAATACTACTCAACGAGATACCAAAAACCCTCACCTTTTCCACCCGAAAACTTCCACATGGGTGGTTTTATAACTCCAAAACACTAAATCACAAAAACGTCAAACGTACTCCACAAACACAACCTGCCATTTTTCTTTGATTGGCAACGTCGGTAAAGCAGGGAGCTGCCATTTTAATGATTTTAATTTGTAATCAGATTAAGGAAAAAAACGCAAATGAGACTAAATCGATTTTCGTTTTAGTCCACGTAATGTCTTTTAAAATTCGGTTACACAGCACGGGGAATTAAAATTGTCACCCGAAACATAACCTCAGAAAAACCACAAATTGTGGAAAATACGTTTCTTTGAGTAAATACTTACATCAGGCGGCCACTTTGTCGCAAAATTAACACCGTATCACTTGGTGCAACTCTAATCACTTTGAAAATCTGTTATCGCAGCTGCAGGCTCCCGCAGGGTTTTTATTTTTGTACCTGGTGTAGTTGGTACGAAGGTACAACTCGCGCCATTTTACAATTTTTTAAACTAGTTTTGAAAAATTCTACTTCCGGCAATGTTTCGTAATTTGCGAACTAGTCCAGTCTCACCCCGTTCGTCAACCCCATGCACCCTTCCAGCCGCCCCCCGCTGCCGTTACACGCATATCTACTATCAACATGACATGAGTTTCACATATCGTACCCTTGAAAAAAGCAAGTCGTCGCCACCAACCCTCTTCCACGTTTTATAAAAGGGGCGAATCGCAATGGTAGCGTAGTCTTAGGCGAGACAGCACCGGAATGAAACCCTTTGAAAACTTAGGTAAGACCAAAACTGTCTAACTCATACTAACTCTTTGTTTTAGAGGTCTACAAGTTATGGAAACTCCTCTTCGCGTGTGCTGTCCTGTCCAGCATGTGCATGGACCCCCGGTTGTCTAGCAATATCAAAGCGACTGCAGCAAGCACGACGGACGAGTGCCAGGTGACTCCAGTAATCCACGTTTTGCAGTACCCAGGATGCGTGCCTAAACCCATACCCAGTTTCGCGTGCATCGGCCGGTGTGCGTCGTACATTCAAGTAAGGGGGCTGCCAAAGCAGGAATAATATAAAGGGGGCTTAGGTTTCAGGCAGCAAAATTTGGCAGATGGAGAGGTCTTGCATGTGTTGTCAAGAGTCGGGCGAGAGAGAGGCGTCCGTGTCGCTGTTTTGCCCCAAGGCGAAGCCCGGGGAGCGCAAATTCATAAAGGTAGGGACTACACACAACATAACCAACTGAAGATTTGAGGTTATGTCGTATCGCTCGATTCGGAATCTATTTTAACTAAAAGGGGTGCGTAAGTTTACGCAAAATTGAATAAAATGTGGTTTTGTTGTGTTATTTTTGTTCGTAATTATCGCATTTTGCGGCTAACGATGTCGGTATAACAGCGATCTGTAATTTGTATTTTTTTTATTTGGAAGCAGGGTAGTATTTGGGTTGATTTTGCAGGTCACCACGAAAGCGCCTTTAGAATGCATGTGCCGCCCCTGCACAGGAGTGGAGGAGAGCGCCGTAATTCCACAAGAGATCGCCGGATACGCCGATGAAGGACCTCTGTCTAACCATTTTCTCAAGTCCCATTCACAATAACTCTGTTAGTTTAGTTTAAAATAAGATGCCTCTTTTGATAATTTATTTTTGTGAATCTGTAGAAAGTTTGACGTTATTAAATTAAATAAAACAGAAACTCCAAGTGATTGCTACATTGAATAATTGTTAATTCTTCTACATGCCTATTTTTGACGTATTGTTTGGAATTATAGATGAAAACGCATTTATATAAAGAGTTTCCTGAGAACTTTTAAAATCAAATTTTTATTCAAAGTATCCCGGCGCCTCCACCATTTTTGTAGAGAATTTAAAATTGATTAAATAGCTTCGAAAGGGGGTCATTCTTATTGGAAATTTTCTCAGGATTAGGAATTCGTGCTTTTTGCCGCATTTGTTTAAATAACAGACAAAACACTTCCGAATGTAATGAAATTTTACGAATACAATTAAAACTATTTCAAAACGGTTCAAAATAACGCTTTACGGTTAATAGCGTTTTTTAGTCACAGAAAGACAATTAGATTGTGTATTATAACACAATTGTTGTTAAATTTTGAAAAAAAACTTGTCGAAATTGTGCTGTTATGCAACCACGTTGTCCCGGTGAATTGTGGGTTGTCTAGCTTTCAGGGACCCCATTTCTGCGCATGCGCCCGTCCTACGTCAAAATTCACGGCGGTCTGTGACGTTTCATTCAAAGAGTTGTTCCTGTGCGAGTAAAAAGAGTTTTTGAGTGTCACAAGTGCAAAAACTATGAATATTACATCAGCAGGTATTTACAAAGCTTTGAATTTTGCTACAACGAAATTATTTAAAGACTTTTGGGGTTTTGATAGTTTGAAAGTTTCCGAATTTGCACATGCGTTTTGCAAGTCATTCAGGACATGACAAATTTTGACAAAAATACCCGTTTATAGTACAATTTCAACAAAAATGTACTCATTATTAGCAAGAAAACACACACCTCGATGATTTTAAATCACGACGACTCAAAATGTGCCAATTTTTCATAAATTCGTTAACATAACCTCACTTTTGCGTTTACAAACAAAGCGGCCTTAATTTATTATTCGTACGAGTACTTTGGTAAAACTCACCTTGTAGCATGTTCCGACAGCCAAATGCAACTATTCGACATAATAAAAAGATTACATGACTCATTTGTACGTTTTTTGTCGTCATAACCTCACTTTTGGTGACTTTGAGTTTTTGTAAATTCCAGCGGGGATTATCTCCCTACTTGAGGAGCCCCGACCGGAGTTGAAAGTCTTCGCTTTGAGAAAGCTCGACAGCATTGTGGATGAATTCTGGCCGGAAATATCCGAAGCAATTGAGAAAATGTAAGTGCCCCCTTGTTCCTCTGTCTTAATAATAACCCCCGCTTTAGTGAGATTCTCCACGAAGACAAAATTTTCCAACAACACCATCTGGCCGCTCTCGTCGCTAGCAAAGTCTACTACCACTTGGGGTCCTTTGAAGACTCCCTAACTTATGCTTTGGGGGCTGGCGATTTGTTTGACGTCAACGCTCGAACTGAATACGTGGAGACGATCCTAGGTAACAATAAAACACGTTGTAATTTATTCTGACGGGTTATTTTAGCTAAATGTATCGATTATTATACTCAACACCGCATCGCGTTGGCTGATGGAACCCCCGACGCTAAACCCATTGATCCTCGCCTTGAGGCCATCGTCAATCGCATGTTTCAGCGCTGTCTGGACGATGGCCAGTACCGACAAGCTATGGGTTTGGCCTTGGAAACGCGTCGCATGGACATTTTCGAGTCCTCAATCACCCAGTCTGATGACATCAGTAATATGCTGATCTACGCATTCCAAGTACTTTTCGTGCGTTCATAGTAATTTTTAGTAATTTTTATTAATTGCATAGGTGGCGATGAGCCTCATCCAAAACCGCGGCTTTCGCAACACAGTCCTCCGCTCCCTCGTCGGTCTCTACCGCGGCCTCTCCGTCCCCGACTACGTCAACATGTGTCAATGCTTGATCTTCCTCGAGGACCCGCTCTCCGTGGCCGAAATCCTCGACAAACTCGTGCAAGGCGAAGAAGAAAACCGGCTAATGGCCTACCAAATCGCGTTCGATTTGTACGAATCGGCCACTCAGCAGTTCTTGGAGCGCGTGATGGTGGCGCTGAGGGCGACAGCCCCCATTCCGTCCCTGCTCGAGGACAAACTGAAGCCGAAAACCGTGGAAAGTTCGACGGAAGCCACGGAAAGCGCCGAACCCAAACCCGAGGTCAAGGAGGAGCGCACTCTGGAGAACTTGAGCGAGAAGGAGAAGGAGCACCAGGAGTGTCTGGAGAAGCTGCACACGATTTTGTCGGGGGAGATCTCGATTGAGCTGCACCTGCAGTTTTTGATCCGGTCGAATCACGCCGATTTGCTGATTTTGAAACAGACGAAGGAGACCGTGAGGGTCAGTATATGTCACACGGCGACGGTTATTGCGAACGCGTTTATGCATAGCGGGACCACGAGCGACCAGTTTTTGAGGTAAACGTTTTTTTTTAATAAATTTATAATTGTTTTTACAACCCGGTTTCACCCGTTTAGAGACAACCTGGAGTGGTTAGCGCGTGCTACTAACTGGGCTAAACTCACCGCCACCGCCTCCCTAGGAGTAATCCACCGGGGGCATGAGCAGGAAGCTTTGACTCTGATGCAAAGCTACCTGCCCAAGGAAGTGGCACCCAGTTCCGGGTACTCGGAAGGGGGCGGTTTGTACGCTTTGGGGCTCATCCACGCCAATCACGGGGCCAACATAATCGACTACCTCCTCACCCAACTTAAAGACGCCCAAAACGAGGTACTTCAGCGATTTTTGGTAATTTTGGTCGAATTTGAAACGATTTTTTGGCAGATGGTACGTCATGGGGGTTGTTTGGGTCTGGGTTTGGCGGCCATGGGTACCCACAGACAAGACGTCTATGAACAACTGAAGTTCAATTTGTACCAAGACGACGCCAACACGGGCGAGGCCGCTGGTATCGCGATGGGTATGGTCATGTTGGGGTCGAAAAACCCGTCAGCTATTGAAGACATGGTGGCGGTGAGTACCACATTTTTTTTGTATTAAACAAGACAAAAATATAATTTATTTTTGTTGTTTCTTTGAAGTGCTAAAAATGATAAATTTCAAACAAAAGACATAACCGAACTTCTTCATCAACATAAAACAAAACCCCGCTTGTTTTCCTCACACTGGCAATTTTTATTAACGAGAAAATTATTACGCCTCATCCACAATTTACCTGTGCCGCTTTTCTCCGTCAATTCTCCCCCTCGTAACCTTCCTAATTATACATTAAAGGAAGCCAAGTAAAAACAATAACGTTTTATGATGTGCGTCTCAGCGATAAACCTTTATTACCTGCATTTTAACAAACATTAACGGGGCAATAAAGCAAAACCTATACTTTACGCCGAACCAAAAAACCGAGTCGCTTTTCCGCCTCGGTGGATTTATTGATGCGCCGCTACAGTGTAAACAAACGCTCGTGTCGGGATCCTTACAGTATTATTGTATCAAACACAATAATTAAAGTACGGTATTCAAAATATTTTCACTCAGACATTTGCGCCCGGGAGCGCACAACGCCGTGCCAACAATGTCGAAAATGTTCGCAGCGATGTTCCGCGCCACAAAGCGCTCGTTAAGGGGAAAAATTAAGCGGGGGCCGTCTTGACGATTATTTTTCTAATTGCGAGCTTAAAAAGCGATCCGCTTAGAGAAATGGCCAATTTTACGGTCTCTGTACTGTTTCGTAGTCGGGCGAACGTGATTATGGGTGTGGAATTAACGAAGGGGAGTGGGTGGGTTTGAAATGTCGGAGTGGATCGTCTCGCTCGTCGCTCGAGCTCTATATGTTATGGACTTTGGTTGCAAATGTATAGATGTAAAATATTTCAGTAGATTTATTAATAAAGCGGTATTAATATAAATCGATCAATTGCTAGTTTAGGAAAATTTTGCTTCTTTGATTTAATGTGGAAATTTTTAGAAATACCGACATAACTTCGAACGATAAATCCGCAGTGTTTACAAACAATTTAATGTATAATTACATTGTAGCGTTTCCAGAATGAAATATCGTTTGCAACTACAGTAATAAACATCAAACGTTGACAGATTGGTTAAAGAAAAATCAGAGAAACTCCAAAAATTTTCTTCAGTTTTTCATTTTGTTTTGTTCCTTCATTTTTTCGAGCTTTCAAGTTTCAGTTTTTCCATTTTGCAATTTTTCGTTCGAATTTTTTGTTTTCTTTATTATTCATCAGTTTTTCAATTTGCAATCTTTCCGTTTTTCGTTTTTTTTTTCTTTAGTTTTACGATATCTCTTCAAGTTTTCATTATTTAATTTTCCAGTTTTCCGTTTTTGCAACTTTTCAACGTTTAAATTTTTAGATTTTGCAGTTTTCCGAATTGAAATTTCACGAGTTTTCAAAAAATTGTTGAAAGAAAACTACGTACATAAAGAAAAAAAAAATAAGGACCACCCACCCGCCCCAATCTCAATTGTGATGAGTTTCATATATTTTCTTGTAGAGAAATCAGCATTTTGCAACTAAACTCCACCCTTCAGCTCACAATGAATAAAACATTCATCAGAATTGAGAAGGGGTGGGTGGGCGGGGCTTATTTTTGTCCATTTTTTTCTTATTATATGAAGTCTTCTTTTTCCAACAAGAAACTGAAAACATTTTTAGCTATCCTGTTGTTGAAAGAAAACTCTGTATATTCATAAAAAAACAAAGATTAAAAATTCTTGCAATAACCAAGTAAAATAGGAAAATAATTTCCAAAATCACCGAAAAAAGACGATGTGTTCAAGAATTATTTTTGAACATTAAGAATCGGAGTTTATATTTGATTTAGTTCCTTACGTAGCTGATGAAAACGGAAAATATTTTCAAAAAAATTCCAAAAATATTTTAAAATTAGCTTTATTTATTTACAAACTACAGATGAATCTAGACTCATTTTAGCCCGATTTCTTCAAAAATCTTAAACATTTTTTTTTGTATTTTAAATATTTTCTAAAATAAAAAACTTAATGGGAGCTCTATTCCGGTGGAAAAAAAGACCACTACACATAGAACTTCTCGTTAATTACGAAACTGAAGTTATTTTTACAATAAATCTTGAAATAAACGAGTAAAATAGGAAAGTAGTTTACAAAATGTTCCAAAAATAAAAAAACGGGCTCCAGATCAGCGGAAAGAAGACCACGTGGGCAAGATTTTTTTTTCCAATACTAAAAATCCGAGCTTATTTTTTATTTAGTTGCTTGCGTAGCCGATAAAACGGAAAAATATTTTGAAAAAAAAAAATCCAAAAAAATGGTGAAATGAGATTTCCTCAAAAATTAAGAACAAGAGTTTTTTTATTCCAAAAATTTTCCAAAAAAAAAAGGTTAATGTGAGCTCCATTCCGGTGGAAAAAAGGACCGACCACCACATAGAGAATGTCTCATTAATTACGAAACTGAACTCACTTTTACAAACATTATTGGATTAACCGCGAAAAATAGGAACATAATTTTCAAAATTTTCCAAAATAATAAAAAAGGCTCCAGATCACCGGAAAAGAAAACGATATGGGCAAGAATTTTTTTTCGGACATTGAGAATCAGCCTATTTTTGATTTAGTTCCTTGCGTAGCCGATAATCCACAAAAATATTTTCAAAAAAAAATCCAAAACATACTAAAATGAGCTTTATTCGAAAGGAAGAAAGTACAAAACTGCGAAGTATTCTCTACAGATTACAAATGAATCTAGAATCATTTTGGCCCGATTTCCCCAAAAGTTAGAAATATGTTTTTTTATTACAAAAATTTTCCAAAAAAAGTTAATGTGAATTCCGGTGGAAAAAACGACCACCACACAGAGAATTTCTCGTTAATTACGAAACTGAAATAATTGTTACAAAAAATCTTGAAGTAACCGAGTAAAATAGGAAAGTATTTTCCAAAATTTTCCAAAAAAGTAAAAAACGGGCTCCGGATCAGCCGAAAGAAAACGATATGAGCAAGATTTTTTTTTCGGACATTGAGAATCAGCCTATTTTTGATTTAGTTCCTTGCGTAGCCGATAAACCAGAAAAATATTTTCAAAAAAAAAAAATCTAAAAAGTGCTGAAATGAGCTTTATTCGAAAGGAAGGAAGTTCTGGTTTACAAAGAATTCTCTACTGATTATAAATGACTTTAGAATCATTTTAGCCCGACTTCCTCAAAAATTAAAAACAGAGTGTTTTTATTCAAAAAATTTTCCAAAAAAAGTTAACCAAATTCCATTCCGGTGGAAAAAAAGGACCGACCACCACATAGAGAATGTCTCGTTAATTACGATACTGAATTCATTTTTACAAATTTTCTTGGAATAACCGCGTAAAATAGGAAAATATTTTTTTAAATATTCCAAAATAATAAAAAAGGCTCCAGATCACCGGAAAAGAGAACGATGTGGTCAAGAATGTTTTTCGAACGTCAAGAATCTGGGTTTATTTTAGATTCAGTTCCTTGCGTCGCCGTTAAAATGGAAAAATATTTTCAAAATAAAATTCAAAAAATATAAAAATGAGCTTTATTCGAAAGAAAGGAAGTGCGAAATTACTAAATATTCTCTACAAATTACAAATGAATGGAGAATCATTTTAGCTCGATTTCCTCAAAAATTAAAAATATGATTTTTTTTTTACAAAAATTTTCCAAAAAAAAGTTAATGTGAGGTGTATTTCGGTGAAAAAAGGACCACCACATGGAAAATTATTCGTTGATTACGGAACTGGAGTCATTTTTACTATAAGCCTTTGAGTAACCGCGTAAAATAGGAAAGTAATTTCCAAAATTTTCCAAAATAATAAAACCGGCTTGAGATCACCGGAGAAAGAAGACGATGTGGTCAAGATTTTTTTCAAACATTAAGAATCTTAGCTTAGATTTAGTTCCTTGCGTAGCCGATAAAATGGAAAAATATTTTCAAAAAAAAAAAAAATCCAAAAAATACTAAAATGAGCTTTATTCGAAAGGAAGTGCGAAATTGCAAAGTATTCTCTACAGATTACAACCGAATTTAAAATCATTTTAGTCCGACTTCCTCAAAAATTAAAACCACTCTTTTTTTATTCCAAAAATTTTCCAAAAAAAGTTAATGTGAATTCCGGTGGAAAAAACGACCACCACATAGAGAATTTCTCGTTAATTACGAAACTGAAGTAATTGTTACAAAAAATCTTTAAGTAACCGAGTAAAATAGGAAAGTATTTTCCAAAATTTTCCAAAAAAGTAAAAAACGGGCTCCGGATCAGCGGAAAGAAAACGATATAAGCAAGAATTTTTTTTCGGACATTGAGAATCAGCCTATTTTTGATTTAGTTCCTTGCGTAGCCGATAAACCAGAAAAATATTTTCAAAAAAAAAATATCCAAAAAGTGCTGAAATGAGCTTTATTCGAAAGGAAGGAAGTTCTAGTTTACAAAGAATTCTCTACAGATTATTAGAATCATTTTAGCCAGACTTCCTCAAAAATTAAAAACAGAGTGTTTTTATTCAAAAAATTTTCCAAAAAAAGTTAACCAAGTTCCATTCCGGTGGAAAAAAGGACCGACCACCACATAGAGAATGTCTCGTTAATTACGATACTGAATTCATTTTTACAAACTTTCTTGGATTAATCTCGTAAAGTAGGAAAATAATTTTCAAAATTTTCTAAAATAATAAAAAAGGCTTCAGATCAACGGAAAAGAGAACGATATGGTCAAGAATGCTTCTCGAAGATTAAGAATCTGGGCTTATTTTTTATTTAGTTTCTTGTGTGGCCGATAAAACGGAAAAATATAAAAAAAAAATCCAAAAAATACTAAAATGTAAAATGGGAAAATAATTTCCAAAGTTTTCCAAAATAAAACCGGCTCTGGATCACCGGGAAAGAGGACGATGTGGTAAAGATTTTTTTTGAACATTAAAAATCTTGGCTTAGTATTGATTTAGTTTCTGGAGTGGCCGATAAAATGGAAAAATATTAAAAAAAAAAATCCGAAAAATACA